CAGGTTACTGTGAAGGTTAGGTTTAGGTGGAGGGTATAGTAAAAATCATTCAATTATTATATAAATCCATTACATTCATGGGATATCCTGACTAATATACACTACAATCTTTAAAATGTTTTATGCCATTAAAAGTTTCTTATGCTCACCAATGCTGCATTTATTTGATCAAATACTGTAAAAACAGTAATATTGTGAAATGTTTATAAACTGCACTTTATTCCTGTGATGGTAAAACTGAATTTTCAGCAGCCATTACTCTAGTCTTCAGTGTCACACGATCCTTCAGAAATCATTCTGATATGCTGATTTGGTTCTCAAGAAACATTTCTTATTGTTATCAATGTTGAAAACTGTTGTGCTACTTAATATTTTTGTGGAAACTGTGACACTTTATTTCAGGATTCTTTGAATAATAAAAAGTTTAAAAGAACAACATGAATTAACATTATAATATTATGTCTTTACTGTCAGTAGTTTAGTTAAAAAAAAAACTTTAAAAAAGTTTCAACTTCTTTAAAGGGGTCATATGATGCGATTTCAAGTTTTCCTTTCTCTTTGGAGTGTTACAAGCTGATTGTGCATAGATAAGATCCCTGAAGTTGCAAAGACTAAAGTCTCAAATCCAAAGAGATATTCTTTATCAAATGAGGCTGAGTCCTCCTGCCCTGCGAATGATGAGCTTTTGGAAATTATTATTATATTATTATTATTATTATTATTATAAATTATGGAAAACGGCGAGGCTTTACTTGCCGTGAAGTGGATGAAGAAGTGACGTCGCGAAATATCTCGATGAACGTTATTTTTCTGGCCATAAACCCTCCAGCTCAGGTGAGCCTTCCTTTCTTCCTGTTTTTCATATAAAGATTGAGAAGGAATGGAAGAGGCAGTTTTTTCCTCACGCATCCATCGATTCCAGCATACAAGTTATGCCAACATCGATGCGATGCGCAAAAGCGAGAGAGGCGGGGCATAGAGGACCTACAATAATGTACAGTATTTGAAAAATAATTTGTTTTTTGAACATTAAAGCACGTCAACATATTCTGTTACACCAAATACACAAAATAATGATCTTTAAAAAAGCTCATCATATGACCCCTTTAAAAAAACTTACTTACCCCAACTATATCTAGCACAAGACTGTTCGCAAAGGTGAGATAAATTTGACAAACGCCCATTCGGGGATATCCTTATTCATGAAATTGATATATGAATAAAACACATTTAACTGTTTATTTTTTTCCTAAAGTTTAGAGTGTGGGTTTGGGTTAGTATGGTATTTAAAGTCAGTGTACAGTTTAAAATTAATAGAATCTGTATATAAAAGAAATAAAAAAATTGATGGTATGTCTGTGTTTATTGTAGATTTACAAGTGTCTCTGTATTGCTTTATGTTATATGGATAATGTTTACATTCCTGGACCATTTCAAGTCATGGATTATAATTCCAACACCACATTAATACACAACTAACAAAAAATCACTAGAACAAGAACAGAGTAAGTCTACTTTACTCTAAGACCACATACAGTACGGCTAGCCTAAGCCACATTCTCTGGTTTTGAACTTAACTGACGAATCAACAAGTATAAAATTGACCAAAGAAATGAAGGAGGGCATTAAAGATGACCAGTGAGACTGAAACTCCATTTGTTGTGCTTGTTATCAGTTAAAGAATGTGTTTTGATAGTCTGATAAATTATCAAACTACATAAGCCTGAAGCTGATAACTGGCTGCCAAGGTCAGGATAGATGCCACACTCCTCTACAGTGGGGAAAATATTTATTTGATCCTCTGCTGATTTTTGAAGTTTGCCCACTTACAAAGAAATGAAGGGTCTGTAATTTTTATGGGAGGTTTATTTTAACAGACAGGGACAGAATATCAACCAAAAAATCCAGAAAAAACACATTATATAAAGGTTAGAAATTGATTTGCATTTCAGTGAGTGAAATAAGTATTTGATCCCCAAGCAAAACATGACTTAGTACTTGGTGCAGAAACCTTTGTTGGCAAGCACAGAGAGGTAAGACATTTTTTATAGTTGTTCACCAGGTTTGCACACATCTCAGGAGGGATTTTGAGCCACTCCTCTTTACAGATCCTCTCTAAATCCTTAAGGTTTCTTGGCTATCGTTTTGCAACTCTCTCTCTACATATTTTCTATAGGATTGAGGTCTGGACACTGGCTAGGCCACTCCATGACCTTAATGTGCTTCTTCTTGAGCCACTCCTTTGTTGCCTTGGCTGTATGTTTTGGGTCATGGTGTTCTTGGGGTCATAGTCAGCATTTCTCTCCCTCTAAACATGAGTCAAGTTAATGCCAAATAGTTAAATTTTGGTCTTATCTGACCACAGCACTTTGTCCCAAGCCTTCTCTGAATCATTAAGATGTTCTTTGGCTAACTTTAAACAGGCCTGTACATGTGCCTTCTTAAGCAGAGGGACCTTGCGAGCGCTGCAGGATTTCAGTCCATTGCGGCGTAGTGTGTTACCAATGTTTTGCTTGGTGACTGTGGTACCAACTGCCTCAAAGGGATAGTTCACCCAAAAATGAAAATTCTGTCATTAATTACTCACCCTCATATCGTTCCAAACCTGTAAAACCAATCTGTGGGAGCCAGAATTCTTGCTGGTTGGTAGGGGAACAAATACTTATTTCACTCACTGAAATGCAAATCAATTTCTAACCTTTATATAATGTGTTTTTTTTCTGGATTTTTTTGGTTGATATTCTGTGTCTATCCGTTAAAATAAACCTGCCATAAAAATTACAGACCCTTCATTTCTTTGTAAGTGGGCAAACTTACAAAATCAGCAGGGGATCAAATAAATATTTTCCCCACTGTAGTTCCTCTATTTGTCCTGCCCAGTGCATTCCGACACCATAAACTATGGGTAGATGAAGACAAACAGTTTGTTCTCCACATATTTCCAATAGTAAGGAACCATGAAGTTTGAAAAGCAGGGATACATATTAACACTGCACATTCAAATGCGAATAACAATCTTAAAACAGCATGTAAACACTCAAGTAGATTTCTTCTTATACTGAGAGAGAAAAAAACATCAGCAAACAAACCAGTCCAAATTCTGAAAATAATTGGTTTCTTTCTCTGAATATGTTCCTGCTGTTTCTTTCTGAGGAGTTCAAGCATGCCAGGCTTTGGGTAAATAGTGCACAGGAAGCAAAAGAAAGTGTTTGAAATCCTATTTAAAAACCTGATGTAAGATTATTAAAAGATTAGCCTAACCTAGTTTCAACTGAACGCTGTCTTTGTTTGTCCATGTGTCCCGCAAACAAATAGCCAGCTTTAAGACAAAATAATGAAATATGCACTGATACTGATTTCAAACTGTAACTGTAAAAATAATCTTAAATTCAAAGTTTAGTTTGTATTTGCCTTTTCCTAAATCCAGCAGAACTGAGGGAGAATACCAGCCATGTGGAAGACAAAATCTGCTGAATGATTTAACATACATACAGCTGAGTTAAGATGTAGAAAACACTTACCATTAGGCCCTACTCTACGCATGTACGTAAACAATGACGCGTCTTGCTACCGTACGCAGCTTCGTGCGATCTTGCGTTCCGAAATTCGTTGACAACAGTAGGCCTAGGGTATATTCCTTTACCATTATTTTTTTTATTTCAGTTCAGTAGGCTGTCGGAGCAACAGTTTATAATATCTAAAACTGTTATATAATGCCTATCAGACGACAGGATGTTGTCAACAATTTATCATCTGGTATTTGGCTGCTTGAAAATCAACACAAAGCTATCTTCACAGTTCTGGCTCTGTGTAATTTGGTTTATTATGTCAGTCACAGCGTTCTTCAGTCAATCTGGCTACGCGAGTCTAATTATGTCAGAGCATGAAGTTGTTTATGCTGTAGTAGAGAGCTGTAATTTTCACAAAACAATGTTTGATAAACAGCCTGACAGCAGCTGTCTTAAATATCCACTTAAATTTCAATAGCGTTGGATGCTAGTCCAGCATGAGTGACCCATAAAATAGATGTTCTCAAGTATCTCAGAATGCTCACTAAAACGTCCATTGTGTGCAAAGACAAACGAGACATCGAATCTGAATGATACATTATTACTGTAAGCTGCACTGAAAAGGAGCTTCAAAATCAGACAGCGAATGTGACATGTAACACACTGAGATAATAGTGCACTCTTGTGGACGTTGGAAGTGGTCACACTTAAACTAAGAGCTAAATTAAATTGCTCTCTGTGCCAGGCGAAAAGTCAGTCACCCTTCGGTTTCATTTCCTTGATTTTCTTTTTATTATTATCACGCTTGACTTACATACACAGAGCAATGAATCAGCAATAATGAAAATGGCCATAAGAACGCAGAAATGCTATCAGGATTTAAAACTCAGGACATAACATTCAGGAAGTCTTAAAGAACTGCAAACCGTAACATATACCCTTTCCGTTTTGTCTAACTGATTCACTGCTGTCATGTGAATTCTAAACAGGTCCACTTCCTAGCCACTTGAGGAAAAAGGAGAAAGAAGAAGAAGAAGAAAAGGAAAAAAAAAGTGGATGTTTGAGTGTGGCTTCATCCACCTTTCTATGCTGTCTATAAAAGTAGACAAAGAAATGATCAAAGGCCACATATTTAAAACAAAACATTTAGTTCTACACAAAGAGCAAGGGAATTATATTCGGATTTAGTTCCATTACAAAGGTTTTGAATAAAAAAAATGACAAAGATGAACATTTTTTTTACAGTGATGTTAAAAACTACAAATTCTTGAAGATAATTTCCTTTTCACAAACTATGAAAATATATTTTTATTTATGGTTTGTATATACGCCACATGACCAATCACATGGATTAAAAAAAAAAATATATATAAATCAATGATTGTAGCTTATGTATGCCAAATACACATTTGTGACAGTTTAAAAACGTATGCAAACTACAAATATTCTCAGGTTTGCACAAGACCCAAGACTACATGTCACATAGTCACCTCATTTCCGATACTGCTGAAGATCACTGTATATATCTGGTTGGACTCCATAAAGTTCCTATCAAACCATTATGAAAAAAAAATAGATTCAGATGATTCGAGAGATTTAACCAAAAGTATCTCACAAATATGTTGCATTTATTATAAATACAACTTTGTTTTTAGTTTTGTAGTTAAATACATAAGTGATATTGCTCAATTTACCTGATAAGGTGATTCCACTTCAATCGTCTTTGGCCTCATTGATGGCTGGTGAGTTTTTGTTCTACCTTAAACATCAGAAAAATATTATGTCATGTTGACTGGAACACGCGTAATAATAACATAGTTTTGATTTCTCTTACAAGCAGGCATACCTGACGCACAGCATCTGGCATGTGTATGTAAACTGCCTTTTCTTTTGTGATGGGAAACGAAACAGTAGACTGAGAGAGCGATGAGGAGTGTGAGGATGATGTCACAAGTGATGATCCCAATAGCCACTCCAATGTCCAACTGGTAACATGAACTGCAGTCTGAGAATCAGAAAATACAATGGCACATTCACTCTATAATATGCCAAAACAAGAAAACAAACAAACAAACTGAATTTCAGATATGTATGAAGGAATTATTACCTTGATTCCCCTCAACAAATCCTGCTGATGAAAGTAAGAAAGGAAGAGAGGGAAGAGAAGATTTTATCATAACGTGTTCACAAGTCAACCAACCGAATTGCAAATGCCATTTCCTCTCGATTTCTTGCATTAAACACTGAGTACATATAAATCAACACAAACACACACAAACATACACAAATATTTCTGCAATTCAGTTTTTCGCAATCCCATTAAACTGATACACCCTATTTATATTTATATTTGCTGAATTTCTTTCTTGGCAGGTTTATCCAGAAATAAAAATCTAATCATGATATAATACTACAGACATTATACAGTATATACTTAATAATATATTATATACATATTTATTTTAGAATACACAAAAAGTATATGATGCAGAAAATACAACACTACTCATACAGTGGTGTGTAACTTATAATATAAAATAATAATATATAACATAATAATATGTGCATGATGTGTATTTATGTGTAGAAAGCTTTTTCTACATAGCTATTGAATTAGCATCTTTTGTCTTGTTGATTTTTGTAGAGAAAATGATGCTAAAATCTGTGTTTAAGCTTTGAAAATGTCCCAAATTGTGCTTCAGGAAATATCCACCAAAGTATTACTGACTCCAAAGCAAACTGATCATTTCAATGCTGAGGATTTGTGAAGAACAATACAAAAAAATTTATTCAAGCTTAAAACCTTACTAAGTATGTGAATGCTTGTAAATTGTACTCACCGAATAGTCCATTCATGGGGACCATTATGTATACAGTCCTTCTCATAATGAGTGCAGGTTTAGGAGAGAATTGCTCAGGGTTGGTGTAGCCCTGACTTGAGAAGTGCACAAAATGCCTTTATTGCCCGTGAGCTAAAACACCTTGAATATGAGACTGAATGATATGGAAATTGTCTGTGTGTGGAAAAATCACAGAGTATGTGCTGATGACTTATCACCATCCATCAAAATAGAACCAAAGGATACTGGGGAGGAGCTACATGTGCTGATGTGCGATCCCTCGCTCTCTCACCCACACACACACACACACACACACACACACTTAACCTAATTCAGTACTTAATTTGTTTACATTTTGTCCTGTCAACATTTTAATATTTATATCTAGGTTTAAAGTACAAAGTTAAATTGAAAACTAAATCTGAGCATACCGTTGATTTACATGACATGCAACTCCAAATATAAATGTGTGTTTTTTTTTAATGTCCTTCTTAGTAAATGTAGTTTCACTTCGCAGTAAGTTAGATATGTGAGCAAGAGGCTAGTAAGAGGGACCTGGGTGTTAATGTGGTTAAAAGCCTCACAGCACAGGATGTGACTACTAAAGCCAGTATCTGATAACCCCAAACAGGTAGAAAGCAAAACATATATCCTGTTCTACTCACAATATCATTTTATTTAAAAAAGGATGTTGGTCTTTAAATTAGTGATACAGGAGAGTGTAGTTCAGTTTCACCCGAAGACCTGCCTTGTTTAGTAGACAAACAAATTGATGAGGATTGTTAGGTTTTTTCCTGAAGCTCAGTCTGACAGATAAATGACCTTTGCCTTACAGTATCTTAAAGCACATGTGCTTTTCAAAGATTATTATCGTCTAGTTACATAACTTTAAAAGAAAAGAAGAAGAAGAAGGATTTGTGATGGTTATATTTATGCATTGATTGTGTTTAAAAAAATTGCAAATACATGTCAATGGTCATTGGTGGTATACTATTTTATTGTTTACTGCATAAATACTGAATCCGCATTTTTGTAAGCAAACAGGCAACATTGTGTTAAAACATTTCAATTGTTTAGTTCTCCAAAATAATACCTATAATTACTGAATAGCCTAAGTGCAAATAAATGTAGAAATGTATGTGATGAAAATTGTAAAGACATTTTCTACTTCCTTTTTTTTTCAGCGGAAGAGTCAGAGTCTTGTGCTTGTTTTGGACACAGGGATTTCTGGGAGATTCCAGAGCATAGTCATTTTTCATATTTATAACAATACACAAAAAATAACATGCTAATGTAAAAGTATACAGCCAAGACAAAGGACACTTTGCTGATATTTTGTGGGTTAACTCTTCTTTAGCTCAGTTATCAGCTTAGAGCAGATGTGATCGGAGAAGATCAAGATCCTTAGATAAAAGAGAGCACAAAGTAAATGTTAAACTACATGTACAAATCTTTCATATACACTTGCAAAATAAAGTTAGTGTGTTGTACATCAAATAAATTCACAAATCCACTTTTGATGAAGATCTGAGATTTATTAATAGTAAATCATATGCATAGAAACGTAAACGTTTTGTATGCCAAACAGTGCAGCAAAATATATGAACTCTCACTTTTTGCTTTAAGCTATGCAGCCGTATACTCAAATGATAACATCGTACTAATTACCTAATAAACCTGTTGCAAACAAACTGAGAGACATCTCTGACATCTGCCTGTATCTGTGGTTCTTAAAATGGACACCTATAGAATCATCATAATGCATAATTGCACACTTTTTTAAAATAAAAAGAGGGAAAGAAGATTTTCTAGGGCACAGTTGTCAAAACCAGCATCTGCTGTTTGGCCCGACATACCAAAAAAAAAAAAAACAATTCTAATTTATTTTGTTTTATTTATTTATTTTTGCATTGAAATGTAAAAAACAAAATTAGTGAATTTGATTAAAAATAATTTCATTATCTAAAATAAAAATAAAATGTAATACACTTTAATATTGTATAATTGGGTATAATACAACATTTACTTTTGGCTCATGACCCCTCAATCCAGTTTGAAGGTTTGGGCACCTCTGTTCCAGTTGAAGAAAATAGTAACAGGAATTATCCACTAGGTGTCAGTGTTTTTCTTTCACTGCATTTATTGCTGTTGATAGCGTGCTAAACAGAGTTCCGTTATTTGTATACTTTGATTAAGCAATAATTTAATTATTTTAAAGTTTTCAGTGTGATGACATAAATATGGTAATTTTGTCTTATTTACAAAGCAACTATGATATGAACACGGTTGATATGATATGTACTTGTTCGGCACTGCTGGGAACGCCCACAAAAACGTCATAACCGTTTATCCCGAGGGGGAAAACAAACCATTCGAATTAACGCGCGGAGACCTTGTTAGGCGCTTGATCTTTACTTTTTATGATGATTTCGATTGATTTTTGCTTGGTGCAATGCCGAAAAGTTGCTGTGTGGCGTTCTGTACCTCTAATAAGTTAAAAAGCTGATCTGACGATGTATATGACTGATACACTGCAATGATCTGTCGTTAGTCCCGTCCCCCTGCACCGCAACCCAGTTCTGATGGAGTTTACAGTAACCCTCCTTCGCATCGCAATCAAATACATCTCACTCAAAACATTTATTTCATATTATTATACACAATCCCTTACGAAAATTAGCAATGGTATTACTATATTAAAAGTATATAGGCTAACCATTTTTTTTTTTGCGTTTTTATTACCAATTGTAGCCTATAACCACAGTTTTACTACAAATACCATGGTTAAACTATGGTTAGTGTAGCAAAACATGTTGTTTTTACCATGGTTTAACTATAGTAACCAATAACCATGTTTTTTTGTATTTAATATACATATTTTCATGTTATCTTTATTTTAAGCCATGTATTTGTGAAAATTAGGCAGCCGCAGCACACACCACAGAATAAACGCTGCGCATTTCAAGGCACTTCAGTGGGCCTTAATGTTACCTGTTTTGTCAATGTTAAAAAAAACTTTTTAATATATCAATAAGAAAGTACGACAGGCGTTTACTCACGTCTTTATCACTTTATTAAAATTAAGCAAAACAAAACGACAAATGTTTACTTTCACAAGCTGTCTCGTATACCGGTAGGCTTGTAGTAAGCTGTCTCTTGCTCAATTAGGTAACAAAAAATGTCGGGAAATGACACCTCTGGCCATTCCGTTGGGTCGTTTGTCCAGTCACAGATACCGTACGGACAGTCCGACCCAATACGGCTCAGTTTTTATGCGTATGTTGCTCTGTCGAGCAGCAGAAATAATGTTATGTAGGCCATTCTGAGTCAACACCATGCTTTTCCAATGAGGGGGAAAGGACTGTTTTCCCCCACGCCGACTCCGCCCACACAGCTATGACGCGACACCGAACAAGTCTATAGGCTAAACTAGAAATTAAAATATAAATCATCATCTATGATCATATCATGTCTTATGGTATTAAATGTCAGTGAGTCTTCCATTGTTCATGTCAGTCTTCCAAAGATCTTCATGTTTTGCAGTTTGCTCTGACATTCATGTAGACTTCATCAGCTAAAGAAACACATGGACACGTGCATGTTAAATGTCTTCTGTGCACTGATTTCAGAATTGCTAGAGAAAATTTGTGTGGGTCTATGTCATTTCTCACCGTTTTCTTTCTTTTGTCTGCGCTTGCTGGCGTACCAGTAGGTGGTAGTAACAATGAGGACCGTCACTGTAACGTCAGCGAATATAATACCCGCTATAGTGCCAGAACCGACTCCATAACATGAGCCTTTGTCTATGAGAAAGAATATGCGGTTGACGCATGTGAAGTACCGTACATCCAGTTTAATACATTCATGTGAAGAAATGTAAACAGGTACAAATTATTGTGCAGGAGTCTGTCGAATATCTAAGGAATTTATGACTGATTTGAACTGTATGCAATTGCAATCCCTGCAGCCTAAACTGGTTGCTTGGTTTTAGCTGGCCATTGCTGGTCAGCAGGCTGGTTTTAGAGGGTTTTTGGACACCTCCGTAGCTGGTCAGGCTGGGAGACCAGCTAGAACAACCAGCTTAGGCTGGTTTTAGCTGGGTTTTTTTTAGCAGGGACTGAACAAATAATAACTATGCTGACCAAAAATCTTTCTTACCTTCAAGAGCACTGACCATAGCTGGATACACGAAGAAGAAGAAGAAGAAGAAGGAGAGGTTAAGAGAAAATAAACTTATGTAACAGATGTTATTATAGTGGACAGTGTTTACTGTGATACACTAATATGCAGCAAAATAACACTATAGGCCTATTCATTAAATGATGAACACAATCATCAATATTATGCATAATTTGGCCTAAACCACCAACACAAAATAATATGTGGAAAATTACACCTCTATGAAAAAACAAACAGTTAATCTGCTTTCTCTGAAAAGTGCACCCATCTAACAGGATATTGCTGCAAACTATGCAATGCACGGTGGTCTCACAGATCTGGGTGAAGAAAGAGAGATGGAAAAAAAACCCCCCGTTTGTCTCACCTACCCAACAGATAGATGGAAAAAAATAAGCTTTTCTTTGTCATTTCCTGTGTCATGGCTGTGTATTCTTTCATCTAACAAGACCAAACGCAGCTGTATTCAATATATAAAAATATGTCAGTATATTGCAAAATTTCAGAGAATAGCACATATAATGAAACTAGAGTTCAAATAACATTAATATTTACTTATTTAGATAGTACTAAAATAAATACTATTTATGCATTTTACGATAAAACAAAACTGTACATAAGCTGAAATGAAGTCACATCAGTGAATTATGCACCGATACTTCACCAACAGTATTTATAACGAATTATCACAAGCTTTAGCATATATGATGATAAGCCTTATGGACATTCTTACCAAGTCTAAAACATGTATGTTAAAAAGTACGACCACAATAGGACGTTTACAACAAAATCTCATTATAATATTTTGACTCTAATTTTACAATTAAAAGTGACACTAATTAACGAAGCGAGTTTCGCTTACCAGTGAAG